GGACCTAGAACTCTCCCGGTGCCTCAAATCCCGGGCAAAACTAGCATCTTCTTTCTCCTCGTACTAGATGTAAGCTTGCGCCTTGAGAAGGAAGGCATCCAGCGTCGTTGGAGTTTCAATGCCTACTGCTTTAGAAAATTCTGTGCAGGGACGGAGCCTGTGCTTGAGCAAGAACTTCTTCATGTCGTTGGTCGTGGAGACCTGGACAGCTTCTTTGTTGAACCTTTCAATATAGGCTCGAAGAGGTTTGTTCTTCCCTTGAATGATGGCCTCAAGGGAGGCTTCGGTCTTTGGGTGACGGCGAGAGGCCGTGAAGTGTCTGGAGAACATTCTCTCCAATTGCCTTCATGATCTGATGGATTCTTCGGGGAGCCTCTTGTACCAAGTCATGTCTCTCTTCCTCAACGTGGTCAGGAAGAATCTACATTTAATGGCGCCCCAAACGCCATGGTAATCGAGCAATGTGTCGATATTTTTGATGTGCTCGTCAGAGTCTGTAGTACCGTCATACGTGCCCAGAGATGGTGGTTTCTCTAGCCCCTTCGTAGGCGCATGGCCACAATTTCCTAGGACAACGGGTCGTGAGGCTCGTCATCATTGTTGCTACTAGACCATGAAGGAGAGCAGGTGCTTCGTCCAAAGGTAGGATGGAGATCTCGACGGGGAGATATGGTTTGTGCCCGACCCTTGGATCTGGGCAGAGACGAATGTTGGGACTCTACTCATTAATCTCTTCTGGTCCTTTTGGTTCCCGGGGAGTACTGGCTCCGGGGAGATGTGGTCGCGCTTTCTGACTGCCTAGGACTCTGACTCTAGAGGTGCCTGCCGGTTTCTTTCACGCCGGGAAGGAGGACTTTGTGATCTCTGGCGCTCTTTTCTCGGTGGAGAGAATCTTGGCCGACTGGAATCTTTTAGAGCTTTAATCCTTACATTCTGATGAAGGATTATAAGGTTTGTCTTATTGAAAGCCTCGAGGAGAGTCACCATGGATGGGTCGATGCTGGGCGGAACTGGGACCGGTTGCTGGTCCTGGAGAGGTTGGACCTCATTGTGATCAGCGCGAACAGGGGAGGGAGACTTGGTGGCTTCATCTCTTTGTTGGTGGGCGTCGCCCCCAAGAAAAGGGTTGCTCCGTCAGTATTAATCTTGCTGACGGGGAGGAAGGCAGAGTTGCGAGCATCATTGGTGATGTCACGGTTGGCCATGATCGGAGTTTTAGAAGAATTGTTTTGGTCTTGAATCTACAATTGAAGAAATACGGGGATAACAGAGTTTCCCACAGACGGTGTCACTGATCTTGACGGTTGATCAGAACCTGAAGTGGGTCAGAGGCAACGTTTGTGATGTTGGGTGTAAGAGATGAGAATGGGACGTACCTGCAAGGTACTCTGATACTAAAGTGAGAATCGGAAGAAAAGAAGCCAACTACAGAATATGTGTGTGTTAGGATGATTATGGAATACCTGACCCTCTCAAATGAGAGGGTTTTTATAGTGCCCTCAGCGCTTGGCCATTGGTCCCTATTTTCGGCGAGATAATCGTTCCCTGAAGAATAGGTAACTTCCAAAAACTAACCGTTGGGACGGGCAGAGGTGCCCAAAACTAGTTGTTGCTACGGGCATAGGCACAGTAGCGGGCACATGCGTCGTGACTGTTTCTGGATGGTGGAACCGTGCGTGACAGGCAGGAACTGCTGAGGAGGGGCAACTGACCTAGAGGTCAAGCAATCAACCTTCCCCGGTGAAGGGGTAGAAAGGTAAATGCTCCCTCAAATTGACTGGACTTAGGCAATTTGGCCGTTCTGGGAGCAAAAGTGGATTGGGTCATGCCTAACCATTCGGTCAGTCTGAAACACTCATAAAACTAAATTTTTATTTATTTATTTGAGTATATAGCAAGAAATCAATTTATAAAAAATAAATAGAGTTTTATTTCATAATATTCTGAAAAATAATAATTTTATATAAATACGCGTTTTATAATTTTCAAAGGAGTAAGAAATACTAGAAACAAGTTGTTCCTTATATTCAATTATATACTAAATCGTAAGAGACTTGAAAACATAATTACGACTATCTCAAAGAGTTTGATATTCATTCTTGTAAGCAGAACTATTAAACTTAAATGACTTTAAAAAGTATTACAATGTCATCTCAAAAACGATTCATGATTAAAGTGAACCGTTATATCAAAAAATATAAATCAAACACAATTCAAAAATAATATAATATAAATCGCCTTTAAAATTGTTCAAAACTATTTTATTATATTTTTAAATTGAGCATCTACATGATAAGGCAACATATAATTGTGTTTTTTTTTCAGAAAAAATCCAATGATATATTAAGTGTATATCAAAATTTCTAGGATATGTGAGCAGAAGTGAATGCACAATATAAAGTTAAATCGAAAGACGTCTAAAGACATTTAAGAAGAACTCTTTCTTTCTTATACTTTTATAATATTTGTAATCATATTTTACAAACAAAAGTTAAAGGATTTAATATGGGGCTATCGAATTCCAATAAAACTTTAATGCCTATACTATATCTATTTAACACTTCTTTTTGTTTGTGATGTTTTCAAAAGTCAAAACGGCAAAAAAAAATTAGCAGCAATTATAACAATACTACAATAGTAAGTTTGATCACTAAATAATAGGAATTGGAGTTATGATAGGCACACTTCATTGTCATAGCTATTAAACTGAGAATTAGCATAGTCACATTTTTTCTATTGCAATAGTAAAAAAATAAAATAAATTAATAGTCATAATTCATATCTAAATCAGACACTCTGATATTAATTGATAGATTTTGAAATAATCGGATATACACAAATTATAGCATATTATTTAATCTAATAATAATCAAGAATAATTAGAACCGTAAACCTTATAAGATTGAAGAGACTGTCGTCGGAGAGTGTGAATATGAGAGGATTACTACCCTCATTGTCGTTTAGGATTTTCAAAGTATGTTAATTGTCTAATGATGAGACACTTAAATAGCTAAACCGCTGAGGGCAGTGACCTTCCATTGGGATTAACTGAATGGTTCAATCTATCACGATCCATTCAGACACAAAACCCAATTAAATAATTCATCTATTTAGTATTTAATAACAATAGATCATAATATAATTAATTAATAATTAATTATGTCAATTCATATTTGATTAATTAAATAATTAATCTAACATTTTTAATTTAGATACGGGTGCTTTTCTGATTTGTATTGTGGCGCGTCCGAAATTTTAATCTTTGAACGGTGTATTTTTTTTTATTTGACATTAGTTTTTCGTAGAATGTTTATGGATTTCAAAATCCAAAGAGGTGTATATGAATTTTTTTTATTTGTATTGTGATGTGTCCGAATTTTAATTTTTAAACGATGTATTTGAATTTGACGTTCGTTTTCTAGTATAATGTTTATGGATTCTAAAATCCGAGAGGTGTATATGAATTTTTAAATCCATACTATTTTTAACTTAGATACTTCTCTGATTTATATTGTGGGGCGTCTAGTATAATGTTTATGGATTCTAAAATCTGAGAGGTGTATATGAATTTTTAAATCCATACTATTTTTAACTTAGATACTTCTCTGATTTATATTGTGGGGCGTCCGAATCTTAATCTTTGAACGGTGTATTTTTGGATTTAACTTTCGTTTACTCGTATAATGTATATGAATTCCAAAATCTGAGACATGTATATTAATTCTAGAATCAAGACTATTTTTAACTTAGATACGGGTGTTTTTCTAATTTGTATTGTGACTCAGCCGAATTTCAGGTGTTTTTCTGATTTGTATTGTGACTCAGCCGAATTTCGGGTGTTTTTCTGATTTGTATTGTGACTCAGCCGAATTTTAATATTTGAACGGTGCATTTTTTTATTTCCATTAGGATAGTGTATTTTTGGATTTCCTCTAGGACAACGTTTGAAAGTACTACTAAAGGTATGGTCAAATCTCTTAATAGACCATATACTTTATCTCAATGAAACTAGGGGAAAAAATTATAATCTTGTTTTAAAAAAATGATGATCTTTGAGATTTTTTCACCCAAATAACCAAGTTTCCACACTATAATTTCCAATCTACCCAACTTTCCAATATATTCTCCAATCTACCCTACTTTTGGATTTTATTTTTATTTTTTTTTACAAGGGGGCGCCATAGGGGTTGGAGCCTCCCTTATAATGTGTATGGGGGCGCCATGGGGGTTGGAGCCACCCTACAAATTATAAAGGGGGCGCCATACCCATTGGAGCCTCCCTTAAACGAAATTTAAAAATTATTTTTAATGTTTAGATAATTTAAAAATATTTAATAAATAATTTTTAATAATTTAAAAAAACTTTAAAAATAATAATTTTGTAAATAATAATTTCTGAATAATTTTTAACAATTTATATTTTAATATTTTTAATGATTCATATTTTTAACAATTTATAAATAAATAATAATTAATATGCGGGACATGGTTTTGCGTTCTGCAAACTAGTCATACAAGTCGATGGAACATGGTTGTATGGAAAATACAAAGGAACATTGTTGATGGAGGTAGCACAAGACGGAAATAATAATATATTTTTTATTGCCTTTGCCCTGGTCGAGGGTGAGACAGGCGAAGCTTGGAGTTTCTTCCTCAGAAATCTCAGAACAGATGTCGCACTACAACCCAACTTATGTCTGATTTCTGACAGACATGCTTCTATTGTGAGCGCCTACAACAATCCTGCTAATGGTTGGCACAACCCTCCTTCTGTCCATGTCTTCTGCATAAGACACATTGCTCAGAATTTTATGCGGGACATTAAAGACAGAAACCTCCGTAAAAAAGTTGTGAACGCTGCGTATGCCTTAAACCAACCATCGTTCATGTATTACCGATAAGAAATAAGGTTGTCAAGCGTGGAAGCATTAAGGTGGGTGGATAATATTCCAGTCGAGAAATGGACTAGGTCATTTGATGGAGGGTGTAGATGGGGTCACATGACCACAAATCTTGTAGAATCCCTAAACGGCGTATTTAAGGGAACTAGGAACCTCCCCATCACAGCGTTGATAAGGGCAACGTATTACAGATTGGGGTCACTATTTGCAGCAAGAGGCAAAAAATGGAGCGATGTACTGCAATCAGGGCAAATATTCAGCGAATCAAGCATGAAGTATATGAGGGATGAAACTTCTAAGGCGGCCTCACATCGAGTTAGACCATTTGATCGTCACGATTACAGCTTCATTGTTGATGAGACAATGGATCACAAAGAGGGTCGGCCAATGGGACACTACAGGGTGGAACTTCATAAAAATTGGTGCGACTGCGGAAAGTTTCAAACCTTCTGCATGCCTTGTTCACATGTAATTGCCGCATGTTCAACTGCTCGTCAGGATCCATTCTTGCAGCTATCAGAAGTTTACAAGGTCGTGAACTTATTCGGTATCTACAGTAGCAGTTTTCCAGTGGTAGCTAGCGAGGACTACTGGCCAACCTATCATGGAGACACAATCTACCACAATGAAAATATGAGAAGAAACAAAAAGGGCCGCCCCAAAAGCACCCGAATCACAACTGAAATGGATACAGCTGAGAAAATGGAAAGATTGTGCGGAATATGTCGTCTTCCCGGGCATACAAGGAAAAACTGTCCAAATGTTGGAACAAGTTCTAGGTAGATTTAATTTGGTCTTTAAAATTTGTGTAATCGTGCAATTTAATATTTATATCAACTTTTCATTACCACAAAAACGAATTGAATTACTTCTACAGCATAAAACGCAAATCATTAAAATACAACGATTATTACAACATAACCTAAGATATAACAACAATCAAAGTAATATCATCAGTTCCGAACATCATAGACCTAACTTCGTTGTCATCTCTAATTCGCACCCAGTCACGCCGTATGTTTCCGTCTTCAACAGAGAAGTACGAGACAAGTCTTTCAATACTCCTAATTTTTTCACCATTTGCAATGTCTCCTTCTAGCCACCGATTCAAATTTCTTCGTAGTTGTTCTAAACTCTGAATGTTCCAAAACAACATCCTTATCGGAGGCTTCGTCGGTGAAAAAATTACATGCCCATATCTTCTAAGGAACATGACTCACTCTTCTAAATTTGGATGAAACAATGTTAGCAACATGTCTACCTATTTATAACAAAAATTTTGGAAAACCATAATATAATATTTAAATTATATTAATTATAATATATTTTAAAAATTATTTTCGTATAAATGGAGCTCCATAGGGGATGGCGCCCCCTTTAGGGCATTTAAGGGAGGCTCCAATGGGTATGGCGCCCCCTTTATAATTTGTAGGGTGGCTCCAACCCCCATGGCGCCCCCATACAAATTATAAGGGAGGCTCCAACCCCCATGGCGCCCCCTTGTAAAAAAAATTAAAAAAATCCAAAAGTAGGGTAGATTGGAGAATATATTGGAAAGTTGGGTAGATTGGAAATTATAGTGTGGAAACTTGGTTATTTGGGTGAAAAAATCGATCTTTGATATCTTAACCAATAATTATGTAATACTAATGGAGAGATAGAGTTAATGGTCTGACCATTCTTTAGTATATAATGATTGCATATTAACATCATTGATTCTAAATCCAATTGTATTGATTTGTATGTCTTGTCTAATATTGATTCTATTTGGTGACTGAACACAGACATTCATATGTATATAGTAAATTGTTTAACATAATATAGGTAAATGTAAATTGTTTAACATAATATAGATAAATGTGTTGATAAAGAAAAACTAATTTGGTTAATCTAGTTCAAATCATTTCTTGAGGCAACTGTTCTAACCAAAACATCCTACTTCAATTTTTGCATCGACAGATTAAAATCAAACACCGGAGAGATTATATTTATTGCATAAAATATATTATATTAAATAGCTTGTATTTAGGAAACACTGTCCCATAATTTTTAAATTAAACATATGATATTGGTAAGCTCATCACCTCATCCAAATAGATTTTCAGCAACATAAAGGATTAATCATACACCAAAAAAACTTAAATATCACTGCAAACCTGAAAACCAACTAAGCATAAAATAAATATAAACAGAAATGACTCAAAAATCCCTGTCTGGGTGAAAAATATGCTGAAACTTATCCTCCTCCTCCTAACTTGAGGCACCTAACTTCATGGCCAGCATGAAAAACAAATTAAATGAAAATCAAACCAAACAGAACCTACAAAGTTCGAATACCATCCCGCCAATTGCATAAAATAGTCTGGCTTCCAAGGACCTAAAGAAGAAACATATAACATATTCAACTTACAAATCCATTCATAAACTAGATATATATTTCTATTAAAAACCCAAAGCATCATCAAATAAGTCAACCAAACTTGACTGAATATGGCACAAGACTGGATGTATTTAGAATTTGATCACCGCCCAACTTAGAAGCACTTCCTGTGAACAATAGCTGGACCAGATTCATCGTATTCACCCTTGGAGATCCACATCTGCATACAAGAGAACAAAGTAAGCACTCCATAAAAAAAAAAATGATCCATTCTACTGGTTATGACATGGGACAGAAAAAAAAAAAGTAAAAACAGTTGATAGTAAAATTCAAACCTGCTGGAAGGTGCTGAGTGATGCCAAGATAGAACCACCAATCCAGACACTGTATTTCCTCTCAGGAGGTGCAACCACCTTGATTTTCATGCTGCTTGGAGCAAGAGCACTGATTTCCTTGCTCATTCGATCAGCAATTCCAGGAAACATAGTAGACCCTCCACTAAGAACAATATTTCCATATAGATCCTTCCTAATATCAACATCACACTTCATGATGGAATTGTATGTAGTTTCATGAATTCCAGTAGCTTCCATACCGATTAGAGAAGGCTGGAAGAGTACTTCAGGACAACGGAATCTCTCAGAACCTATTGTTATGACCTGTCCATCAGGCAACTCATAGCTCTTCTCCACGGCAGAGCTACTCTTAGTAGTCTCCATTTCTTGTTCGAAATCAATAGCAACATATGCTAGTTTCTCTTTCACATCCCGGACAATTTCCTTCTCGGCAGAGGTGCTGAAGGAGTATCCTCTCTCGGTAAGAATTTTCACCAAGTACTCTGTTAAATCACGCCCAGCAAGGTCCAACCGAAGAATTGCATGAGGAAGGGCATACCCTTCATATATGGGCACTGTGTGGCTCACACCATCACCAGAATCAAGCACGATACCTACATACAACAAACAATACAAACCAGAAAGCAAATAATGTTATAAGAGAGTCCCAGTAAATTTGTGAAAAATTCAATGTATTGTCATCCTTGTACATATGGAATTATGCCTGGTGAATATAATTCAAATTAAGCTTATAGAAACAAAATCAATTCATATAGAATTTCAAGCAACAACCAGCTTAGTAAAGTTGCAAATAATGTAAGTCTATCGTATAAGATAGCAACATTTTAATCAGACCTAAACTTAGTCAGCTTGCAGCATCATTAAGCAATAAACAAAGTGAACTAGTGCAATTGAAGACACATGATCAAAAGGTAGCAATCTAAAATCATCCGCAAAAACAAACCTGTTGTACGTCCACTGGCATACAGAGACAAGACAGCTTGGATTGCAACATACATTGCAGGCACATTGAAAGTCTCAAACATAATCTGGGTCATCTTTTCTCTATTGGCCTTGGGATTTAGTGGTGCCTCGGTAAGAAGCACAGGGTGTTCCTCAGGAGCAACACGAAGCTCATTGTAGAATGTGTGATGCCAAATCTTCTCCATGTCGTCCCAGTTACTAACTATTCCATGCTCTATAGGATACTTCAATGTAAGGATACCCCTCTTTGACTGAGCTTCATCACCCACATAAGCATCCTTCTGTCCCATCCCAACCATTACACCAGTATGACGAGGTCGCCCAATAATACTGGGGAACACGGCCCTAGGAGCATCATCCCCTGCAAAACCAGCCTGCAAATATAACACAATATAAGTAAAATAGATTAAACAACCATCCATTATCCTTTTGCTTGATATTATTCAAGCCATGTAAAGCCCAATTAAACATTTATAAAACAAGAAGCACACAACAATGCATCATCAACTTGCAGATAATATTCACTAACCTTGACCATTCCAGTTCCATTGTCAACAACAAGAGGTTGAATATCCTCAGCATCAGCCATCTTTCAAAATCTGTAAATCAGAAAGAACAAAAAGAGATCATCAAATCAAAATCCATACAAACAGATCAATTACTACACACCACTATTTCATGTTTCCTTCAAAACTCCGTCATTTCCATGCATATACAGTGAAAAACATCAACAAAATCAACAGATCGGAAACATGCATACTACAACATATCTACAAGATTCGCAAAATCAAGAAAGAAAAACACAGAAAAAAAATACAAAGTCCAATTAAAAAACATCGTAAACTACTGAGTTTGATCAACTAGTAATTGAATGAAAAAAAATCCATAAAAATCAAATCCAGATGCATCAAAAAGCAACTTACAACAAAATTAAGCAAAAATTCAAATCTAAACACACTAGATTAGCATCAACATACTAGATCCAGATCAGCAAGATCAACTAAACTCAGAAAATTCTCGATCTATATATCAAATCTAAAATTCACCGATCCAGAAACAAAAAAAGAGCTAGTAAACGCAATAATTAATCTAAAAAATCACATAAAAACGCAAATCGAAGAGTCGAATCGAAGATCGAAACGCACCTTGTTTGAAGGAAAGAGGTTAGAGATTTGAATCGGAAATGGTTCGGCGAGCGGTGGAGCAACGGCAGCAGAAAAGCGAGTGGGAAGTGTTACGGGAAAGTGTGTCAGAGAGAAGAAGCTTTATATATATTCTATGAGCTAAATGAGAGTCAAATGAAACTCAAATGCAAATGAATTTGGACAACGCCGACTATCACGCGTTTGGTTTTAGATAAACCTATCCCGAAAAGAAAGGGAAAGAAAATCACGAGCGATTCGGAAGGAAAATGGACTACTTTATGAAACCAAACAAAGACTTCTGTGACTTTTTTCTTTGGAGGAAAATAGAATGATTTAAAATCCACCGAAATTATCAGCCGTCCATTTCTTGTGATGTGCTTTTGCCACGTCATAATGGGCGGCTACGATGTTGTTGTGGGTCCCACTAGTGCCGACCAATTCTCGAAAGTGGTGCTGTGCCTTATTGGATCCAACTCCTCATTATCACTTGTTCTACCAAACATTCAATGCTTATATGGAAATATTCAAACTAAAAATGAAATTAAATATGGTGATTAAGAATTTGTAGGAAAAATAGGATTAGAAATTCAGCAAATGGGGGTAGAAAATGACAGCGTGAAAAGAAAATTAATAATGGGAGGTTGAAAGAATAACAAAAGGGTTGAATGAAAAATGTGTTTCCACGTTCTACTCAAGAGAAAGAGAAAAAATTGCTACCCTTGTGTAACGTATTACCATAAGCCTCTTATGACTATACTTACTTCTTCCTTCACAAAATTTATACAATTCAATTTAATTATAAAAATAATCATTTTCATATTAGTCTATGTTAATATTACAAATTGATTTTTTTTTCTTATTTTTTGAATCGTGACTAACTCTCATGTATATTATTTATACCACATTTTTTAATAATTACGTGGATATTCACATTAAATTTTATTTTTTATTTTTAAAATATTAAGGTGATTTTTATTTTTATTTTAATTTATTTTTACACAGTTCAAATTTAAAATTTAAAAAAGGCAAAATTTGTTTTAGAAAGAATCAAACTTACGCAACACCCTATATATTTTCTATTAGGCCAACGTATATTATTGATAAGTGATTTTTATGATTTGTAGTAATATTAAATGATTTTAAATTTAATATTTACTTATTTATTTATTTCAAATAATACATAGATAAATATTTATTTATTTCAAATTAATTCAAATTAAATAATAATAATTAATTTAATAGTAATTCAATTCATTATTAAAATGACTAATTAATTTAAATTAAATAATAATTCATCTATTTAATAGTAATTCAACTAAATATTAATAAACTTATTGATATTTGATTAATTATATTTAGAATTTATATTTTATTAATTTTATTTGTGTGTTATTTGAAATAAGTAAATAAATAAATTTTTATTTTATATTATCAAGTTAAATATTCATCATTAAAAATAGTGGTATAGTGTTAAAGTGATAATCATTTAACATGAAGGGGTCTATTTAAGACCCCGTGGGTACAAATTTTGTAATTTTGTTTTAAATTTAAATTAAAAATTGTTTAATATTACAATAAATCATGAGAGTTATTTGTCATCCATGTATGTTGACCTAATGATAAAGATATAGGATGTTTCTTAAAGGTTTTTGGGGTTGATTCCTTCTAGACAATTTTTTTTTTCAAATTTAAATTGTTTAAAAATAAAAATCATCTTAATAATTAAAAACTAAATAATAAATAATAAAATTAGACATAATTGTCCATGTGATTATTAAAAAATGCAATGGCATATATAATTCACATGATAGTCTAGTCACGGTTTAAAAAAAAAAAAAAAATTAGTTTAAAAATATATATACAGAAAGACTAATATAACCCAATTAAATTTTGTAAATGATTATATATGGTCTTTTTTCCATTGATTAAATTGGATTCTGAAATTTTTGTGAGGGAAAAAATAGATCTTCACTCATAAATTAAATGTCATGCGCTTGAATGCCTTCATTTTTTTAAAGACAGAGAAATTTTATTAATACAAGTATGAGCCATGACAAGGAAACAAATATAAAGGTTTAAAGCTCCAACAGACCAAACATCATAGCAAAATAAAACAAGCTACTGATAACGTGAAAACGTATCGTATTTTTAGATTCATAACGCATGTTATTCATTGTTATTTTACTTTGTTTTATCACTTTTACGTTGTATCTTGTTTGTTTTGAAGATTTTCAATAAGTGTCAGTGCAACTTCGCGAGAAATTTGAAAAGGGAGCAAAAGAGCTGAAAATGAGCATTTTGGTGCATGGCGTTCGTCATTCCCTAATGGTTTCTGTCCTGTACCAAAGGCCACGTCATTTAATGAAGCAGGCAATGACATTTGCTATTATCATGCAGAACCAGATTTTTGTGGAGTCAGTTTAGACCCCTTCTCCCCACTTTCTTTTATTTCTCCAACTTCTCTGCATGTCCAAGGCATTTACCCGACACTTCAAAGCTCTATAGTTCTCTTGGAATTTGGGAGTATACAAGTTGTGCGGAAGCACTGTCAAAATTGTTTTCTAGTCTTAGGTGGAAATTTACTTGTAAAAGTGACAATAACTCACACTGAGGGATTGTCACGCAATTTTGTTTTCTTTGTATTTTCTTTGTACTCTTGGATCAAGAAACAAGCATGTAGGCATTTTAATCAAGTCTTACGTTCGTTACTTCAAGCCTCGTTTTTTATTTTACAAGTTTCTACTACTTTAAATTTATTATTGTTATTGCAGTTATTTTACTATATGTCATGCTGTCTTTAAATTCATATGCTTTGTTTATGTCGTTTTTAATTGAAGAAATGTCTTGCTAAATTTTTCTGAGTCCAGTGTATAAGAACCATCGTTACCGACGGGACTCAGTAGAAAATAATAGGTGCAAAATTATGATTAAAATTTTGTTTTGGTTTTAGTTTCTAATTGTATGTCTTATTGTTTCGTCATGAGAATGAGAAGCAAACTAAGGTTTGAGCCGATAGCGCGAGAGTGTGAGGATTGAACCGGATAGTGGGAACTAGGCATCGATTCTAAAAACAGCGAGAGCACTTTATGTATCGATTAAGATTTAATTGATTTTCAAAATACGCTTTCTAATTAATATGGGCGAGCCAGAGCAAATCTCATGGTTAGGGAGTGTGGCTCAGTCAATAGCGCGAGAGTTTGAGACGGAGTCTTTAAACCAATATTTTATAGGGAACGCAATTTAAATATAATTAATGCCTATAATCTACAAAGTCCCTTAGGAATGTTGAATCCATATTTCAGCCTCTTTTTATGATAATTTCCAAACCTTTAGTTGATTATATTTATATTTTCGTCCTAATCTTTTTAATCATAGTCTTAGTTATACATAGCATCATTAGATAGCGGTAGATTGATTATTAGTCTCTGTGGATTCAATATCTTTTAAAACTATACGATTGAATGTATACTTGCAGTTAGATTCCGTCAGACTCGTAAAGTCGCGATCAAGTTTTTGACGCCGTTGTCGAAAAATAATTTAGTCAATATTGTGATTTCGTTGTTGCGCAGTATAGACTAAGGAAACAATTTTTTCCTTTTTCCTATTTCGTCGATTGCATGCCAAACACTCGCTCTCAAGGCGACAAGTTAGTGCAACCGATTGACGATATCAAGTGTTTTATTAATTTAAGATGTCGAATCAATGATTTCTAAATTAAACATAACCTTCCTGAACCTGAAATTCCTTATCCATAATTAAAAACTCTCATGGCTGAGAATCCACCGAACCGCTCTCTCAAGGACTATGCTATTCCATCACAAGATAAACCTCATAATAACATTGTTGCTCCTGCCTTCGAACGAAACAATGTCAAGCTAAATGTTAATCTATAAATATTAATGTTTTGGCCTGGCCACGCAGGCCCAACCCAATAATGTTCTGTCAAGCTCATTCCAGCTTGGGCCGCAGCGTCGGGCACAGGGTCCCCGACGAGCAGGAAATGTCCCCCCGCGGGCAGGACCTGCCTCAGCTACGTCGGGCACAAGACTCCCCCTTCGACCGAACACTGCCTTCTCCCCGGGCAGGACAACGTGTCCCTCACACGTTCTCCACGTGCTCCCCTCTGTGGGGACATGTCACTAACCAACTGCCCACCTCCGAAAGAGCAGGTCAAACCCACTTTCCGTAGATCACAGGACAGTTGAACTAGGGCGAAGACCACGTTCTGGTCTTCACTATGCCACGTAAGCCATAGCAGTCACCTGGGTTGGGCCTGACAATCCAGCACAACACAAGTGACCGTTGGCCCAGCGTTGGGGTCTCTCTATAAATACCCTCTTTCACAAGAGGTCAAGTAATTCACTTCTTACCCCTTTTCTGTACTTGTGATCACTCTGCCCATATACTTACTTTGGCATCGGAGTGCCTTGCAGGCACACCCTTT